GTTCGGCCCGTCCCGAACGCCGGTTACCCTGTATATATATATCGTCACAAACAGAACTGCCCGGTAAACCGTAGGCAGAGAGAGAGAAGAGGACATATATACATATATATATTGTCACAGAACTATTGACTAAGAGCGTAAGCACGTGAAGTAGAAAAAGAAATAAGATGAGCGAAGAAAAGAAAAATGAAAGGACAGACAGGCAAAGGGACAGACAAACCAGAATGACACAAAACAGTGTCCTCTTATTCTTTGTTTCACAGTATTATTATTTCTTTCATAGTCAAACAGAGCTGCTCGGTAAACCGTAGGCAGAGAGGGAGAAGAGGACAACAAATGAGGGCTGTGACAAACTACATATATATAGTTCTCAGGCAGTCGTTGATCTGTAAATACGACCGGGGTTAAGGTGGATTATCACTTACAATGTAATCAGTAAGGGGATTCTGCAGACTGTTGAGGGTTCAGCCTCCTGATGAGTCGGTGAAACTCCGACGAAACAGTTTGTCACAGCCCTTTGTTTGTTGTCCTCTTCTCCCTCTCTGCCTACAGTTTACAGGACAGCTCTGTTTGACGATATACACCACGACTTCGCTAGCACCCTGCTACGGTTTTCTCCGGTCAGGTCGACGACAGTGGTCAGGGCTGTCACTAAGCTGCCATGCTGTGCCTCCAGTGCCAGCAGCGTGTCTGGAGTGTATTTTTTGGCTGTGACAGACCTTTCTTTGTTTCGTGGGTGTTTTGCTGGCATGTGATGGGTTGTGAACCAACAGTCTGTAGAGCTTTCCATCTGGTGTGGGTGAGTGATAGTCTGCTTTGATTTTCGTCACAGGTACCTTGAGGGCCACCTCAGGGTATCAGTTGCCGGGCAGTCGTTGATGCTTAACCACAACCCAGGTTAAGGTGGATTATCACTTACAGTGTAATCAGTTAGGGGATTCTGCAGACTGTTGAGGGTTCAGTCTCCTCATGAGTCGGTGAAACTCCGACGAAACAGTTTGTCGTCACAGGTACCTTGAGGGCACCTCAGGGTATCAGTTGTCGGGCAGTCGTTGATGCTTAACCACAACCCAGGTTAAGGTGGATTATCACTTACAGTGTAATCAGTTAGGGGATTCTGCAGACTGTTGAGGGTTCAGTCTCGGTGAAACTCCGACGAAACAGTTTGTCACAGCCACTTGTTTGTTGTCCTCTTCTCCCTCTCTGCCTATGGTTTACCCGGCAGCTCTGTTTGACAATATATTCGTATTTATTTATTTTTTTCTTTGTCAAAGACTTTTCATGTGACCCTGAGCCAAAAGTTGTTCAGTTTATTTTTCTACACAGCACAGTTTTTTTTCCTTTTTTTTTCTTTTTTTTTTTAAAGGGACCTTCCCTGGCCCTTGCCCGGCTGGGCTGCCCAGGCAACCAAGGTCACCAAGGCGGCCCGGTCCGTAACGCAGATTCACAATTTCACACAAAATTTTCTATGATTTAACAGGTCACAGTAAAAAAAGGAACAACAGACCTACTAGCAGCTTAGTTGGTACACCCATGAATTGTTGAAATACAGACCTGAGTTTGAATCCCGATGGAACTCGACACGAATCAAATCAAAATTATCAAATACTTCCAAGTTCTAAATTACCTGGGCCCGGTCCACTCAAATCAACTTCAACGACAATATCTCCAGGCAATCACCCTTTCAAAAGGAGAAAAGAAAGAAAAACAAAAAGGAACAGAATTCTGAACAAACGGCCGTAGCTCGGTTTGTAACTTTGTACACCCACGAACTGTTGAAGACTGAAATATTTCATCTTCGGTCCCCAAGTACGAATCCAGATGCAATCAAAGAAAAAAGGGAGAGAATTCTGAATTGATCACAGTTAGGTTCTTCTTCCTTTTTTTTTTTTTTTTTTTTTGGTTTTGTGTTTTTTTAACTTTTTCTTTTTACCATTTCATTACCCACCTCTATACTTGTTACAAATGCGACGATGGCGATCACCATGGCAGCGATCCTGCCATGTGGCACTGACGATACACTGAAAGGAGAATTACTCATTGCCACCTGGTGTGCGGTGGATTCGGGTTTTTCATCGGACGGGCAGGCCCGGTCTGGACTGAGTGACAGTCCAAACCGGAAGACCACGGTAGCAATCGCCAGCGATGTCACAGCGCCGCACACAGCTGAGGGCAAGCGCAAAGCCCAGACATGATCACCGAACAGCTTTACCTGCAGAAACCGGAAAAAGAACAAACAAGACAGAGATCAGATCAAATCAGATCAAATCAGATCAGAGCAGATCAAATCAGATCAGATCAGATCAAATCAGATCAGATCAGACCAGATCAGATCAGATCAGAACAGACCAGATCAGATCAGACCAGACCAGATCAGATCAGACCAGATCAGACCAGATCAGACCAGATCAGCTAATTTACATGAAACAGAAAATGAATAAATACATCCAAACAAAGTCATCATCTGTTACATAAAATCAATTAGAATTGGCTGGCTTTCTACGCTACCAGAGTGGCCCAGACCATTTGCTCGGCCGGGCCAAAGCCAGAAAAAAGGAGAAAAACCTTAATTTTAATGTATTGTATTTTTAATTTGGTAAAGAATTTCAGTTTGACCCCGAGACAAAGTTGCTTAATTTATTATTTTGCATAAAACATAGTTTTTCCTCAGATTTGTTTGATTTTTTTTTATTTTTTATTTTTGCCGGAACCTTGCCAGCCAAATGCCTTGCCCTAATGTGGAGGGATTCCAGGCCTCCGTTTGCAGCATTTATAAAAGGAACAACCCCTTTTTTTTTTAAAAAAAAGCCCTTCAAAAAGCCCTTTATAAGAGGAACAACACCTTAAAATAAAAAATAAATAAAAAATAAGTTCTTGTCTTTTTTTCCCTTTTCTTTGGCCCGGTTGGGCAAGTGGTCCTGGGTCACTCTGGGAGCCTACCTCAAGAATCCACTTTAGTCTCATCATATTCTTCAGGAAAATTGGTAGATACAGCCCAAGCAAAAAACTTTTTTGGCCCCCCACAAATAGAACGGAGCATCACAGGGGTGACTGCCATCCGTCTAGTATCCCACCTCTACAGCACCCTGGGCTTTATGAAAAAAAAAAAAAAAACTTTTTGGTTTATTGCGCCCAAACTTTTTGGGTTTGGAGGGTAGACCCATGGGCATTGCAGTCGGTCGGATATGAAAATCTGGTGGCCTAGATTGCATCCCGACCGCTTGGCCTCAACCTGGCCCTGTATTTGGGCCACATTCATATTCCGGTAGGCCCTTCTTGCCAAACCGCCAAAGTTTCGATGCAAAAAACCAAAAAGGTCTTCGCGTGGGCCGTATACACCAATTATCCTATATACTTCATTCAGCTACAGATCCCCCTACCATTGCGCTCAACCCAAGCTACTCACTGGCGAGGTACTCATCATAAGGGGGGGGGGAGGGGGGTCGCCCAGGTACCCCGGGTGGGTCACACCCCATGCAAGTTCGCCTGGGCCACCGGGGTCGGGTGACTCTGGTAACATAGGTTTTGGAACCCTTTTTTTTTTTTTTTTTTTTTTTTTTTTGAAGTCTTTGCTACGAGGGTAGGACGATTTACAAAAAAGGGATGATTCGCTAAATACCCCCATAACTTGAGGTATATGCCAAAATGCCCCTGAAAGAAGTGGGTAGAGCGCAATGCCCCTCTGACACAAAAAACATTTTGTCAAATACCCCTGGCGCCAGTTGGACCCCCCATCTTTGTTAATATACCCGTACCGGGTACCGTCCAACTTTGCAAAATGGCCCATACTCGCCAACTTTTCCAAGGCCCAGGTCGAAATTGCAAATTTGCACACGCGCCTGACAGGGCCATAACACAGATTTCGGCCCAAAAGGGCATTCTGCTCTGCCCACATCTTTCAGGGCCATTTTGGCATATATCTCAACATATGAGGGTATTTTGCAAATTATCCCTATAATAACAAAAAACAAAATTCAGGGTTTAGGGTTTAGGGTTTAGGATTTAGGGTTTGTAGGGTACTCTTCAGCGGTAGGGGACTAAGACGGAGAGCATTATCAGAATTCATTTTCTATACTGAACTAGTAATAATTAGTTACTGAGCTCACTTTACTTGCTTTAACTTACTTATTACTACAGTAATGTTTACCCTTTACACTGGAGAAAAAGAGAAAGGAGAGAGAGAAAAAAATAGGTGAAAACAAAAAGAAACATTCAAAACATCAACAAAAAAAACGTTTACTCTAACACTTACTATAAGTTACTGAACAGAAGTTACTATGGTCCGATACGGTAGTCATGAGGTTGTGTTCTGTTCTGAGCAACACGGTGATACTGGTTACTGCATTCCAGTTGTTACGATGTTCAATTTACATACTCGCATACTTAGTAAGTTAGCATACGTTTTCTTTTTGTTTTTAATTTGGACCATTTGTCCATTTATGCGTGTCATCCTTGTGCAGGGGCCATGCTAATCTTCATTCTCTGTATCGTTCCAATTTTAACGGATGTCCCGAAGGACTGCAAACTTAGTATACTACTCGTGTCTAGAGCAATAAAAAAAAAAAAAAAAAACAGAAAGAAAGACTACTAAATTACTAATTAGTTACTGACTTCCAGTTGTTACTATGATTCTGGTCAACATGGTAACTGTGGTAATTTCACCGCGGTAAACAAAATACTTTACTGCTAGTTTGCTAGAGAAATTTTTAAACTGAGTGTCCGGAAATGGATTCAGTGCGGGTCCTGCATTGAATCTTTCAAGACGCGTTGAAAACGAGGTAAAACGGCGTTGAACCGCCATTTTATCGCGATTCACCACGACCCGCGAAGATTTTTTTGCGGGCAAAGAAAAACAAAAAATATAGGGTTGTAGAATTTTTTCGAGATCTACAAACCTGTGTAGCACACCGAACATGTTCGGTGCTTTTCCGAACGTCCGAACATGTTCAGGTGTTCGGCCGAACATATTTTAAAAAATAAAAAATAAAAAAAAATTGGGTTTTTTTCTATTTTTAACTCGAATTTGGTTACGAATTTGAGCATACGTCTGAGGCAAAAGTTGTTTGTATTATTATTTTACATAACATATATTTTTTCAGATTTTTCTGAGATTTTTTTTTAATAATATTTTTATGTTCGCATTCGGAGTGTTTTGGCGCTCGTTCGTGTTCGGTTACCGAACCCAAACACGATGCTACACAGCTACAAACTCGTATCTTTTAGTTTATTATTTGAACTTTTAAACATAATTTTGAAAAATAAAAAACATAAGAACAAAGGGAAAAAACAAAGAAAAACGATGAAATGAGTGGGTTTTTCGTTTTTTTAAACAGAGATTTTTTTACAGGAAAAAAAAGATGCAAAAAAAAAAAAAAAAGAAGGTTGTAGATCTTCTAGAGAAAAGATCTACAACCCCATAATTTTTATTTTGTTTTTGGAACTTTGAATATATATTTTTTTAATCAAAAGATTCAAAACCTTTAAAAAAAAGAAAAAAAAACTAAAAACAGATGATGAAATGTTTTTTTTTTTTTTTACATCTTATTTCGATGCAGGGTGTGTCGCCCCGCATCTTTGCACACACACACACACACACACACACACACACACACACACACACACACACACACANACACACACACACACGCACACACACACACACACACACACACACACACACACACACACACAAGTGTGCGTGACTGTGTGTGTGTGTGGGTGGCTGGGTGGCTGGGTGGGTGGGCGCATGCATGCGCAGACACACACGCACACACACACACACACACACACACACACACACACACATACACACACATACATGCACACACGCGCGGTGGGGGATTGGGGGTTGGGGGGGAGGGCTGTTGGGGGGTAGTGGGGGATTGGTGTGCGGTTGTGGAGGCGGGTTGGGGTGGGGTGGCGTTTGGGGGGGAGGACAATTTTTTTTTCCCCCAGCGCAGGGTTCATGCGCCATGTGTCCAAACCCCCTCGCACCCCTGGAGTTAAACCAAAAACGGCAGGAGACCCCCGTTTTCGCGTTTAATGAGAACTCAACGGGGGTTTGGGGATTTTAATGGGTTTCAACGCCCGTTACACTCGCCCCCCCCCCCCCCCCCGGTTGAAAAGACACAGAATTAAAAAAAAAAAAAAAAAAAAAAAAAAAAAAAAAAAAAAGACAACTAATTACTAACTAGTTACGCACTTCCAGTTGTTACTACGGTTCTACCTTCTTCCCCCGAATACAACGTACGGTCATTATAGCTGTATCTAGACTGAAAGATGCCTCAAATACAGCTATAATGACCGTACATTGTATTCGGGGGAAGAAGGTAGTCAACATGGTAACTCTGGTCATTTCACCGTGGTAAAGAAAACACTTAGTTTACTTACCGAGCCTGCCATTAACCAGTAGATGAGCACTGGCTTATCAAACCGAGGCTGAGCGTTAAACTGGGGTGTGATCCAGTCGCCGGTTACAACCCTGTCATTCAGCAGGCCAAGTGATTCGCAAAAACACCAAAACAGAAAATAACAACAACAACAACAACAACAACAACAACAACAACGAGACAGAGAACACTGACTTATTACCAATACAGAAACACAGCTACATGGCTGCTGTTTCCTAGGTCTTTTCCCCCCCCCCCCAACTACAATGAACTTGAGACTTGTTACACCGCTGCAATACACTGAAATCTCTCCAGCATATTTTTCAAGTAAAACTGGAAAGATAAATTCGCCATTTTTTTGCTTCCCACATTTGGTGAGCAGTGGAGCCAAGAAGTACCAATGACTTCAAAAAAAAAAAAAAAAAGACTGTGGCTAAAAAGGGACCTCCAGATCATTAGTTTTTCATGCTCAAATGTTCAGCGGGGGAGGTTATTGTTTGTTTTTACTACTTGTTATTACTGAAAGCCATTACTTCTGAGTTCTAATTATTATAGCTTTTTTTTTATAGTGAATTATATTACTGTATTTTCTTTGGCAGATGACGCCACATGACAGTCGCAGTCCACAGAATTGTACAGACACATCATGAATAGATTGGAGCACGATTTGGTTAAAAAAAAAAAAAAAAAAAAAAAAA